GTTTTGACCCAAATTCTTTTATTTGGGTCTTTATAAGGTCGGACCAATTAGTAAGTACTGTTTTGGAGAAAATAATGTTTAGAAATTGAAGAAAATTATAACGACCTTGTTAAATAAAATATAAAAATGATAATAATAAAATTACAACGTCTTGTATTTTTTTGGGTTGAAAATCACACCTACATGTGGGTTTTGGATGACAATTACTCATATGAAGTTAATAATCAATGGAACTAAATTTTAGAACGAAATGATTTTAACTGTTAATGATGTGAGCTTATATAACACTCGTGCGATAATTAGTAATTATTATAAATTTATTTTTAAATTTTAATCTCAAAAATTAGTTTTAAATATCATTTTTCTAACTCACACTTATGGATACATGTACTAATTTTGAGCTGGGTATGGATAAAAGAATTTTACTCCTAAATTAGGCTTGATAACATTTTAGATTGGAGTTACGATAAAAAAAAAAAGAAAAAAGTCCATACACTATAAGAGAAAATAATGTCTTATTGTCATTTTATTTAGGATTTATTTTATATAATAATTTAAGGGGATCCGTTAGTAATTTCATCAAAATTATTATATAAAAGTGCTTAATAATTTTTTCTCCAACAATTTGCTTTGTATTTAATATTTAGTAAAAATTTTTATTTAGCAATTTGATAGTAATAATTAACAATTAATGCCCAATCTGTTAACAAATTAAAAAACCTCTCAAAGATAATTTTTTGTCCCAAATTACTAATAAATTAAAAATTTTAAATTATTATGACAAATATATTCATAAAATAATTAAATATAAAATACAAATATAAGCACACAACCTTCTTAATTTACGTCTTTTTCACAGTCGAAAAACCTAAAGCCATGACAAGGTATGTTTTCTTTTTCACCCGTGTGCTAGATCTTTATTAAGAAATAACAAAGGTAGGTTTATTAATTTTTTATTGAAAAATAACAAAAAAATGTTTCATTTGTAAATGTATAATAATATAATTCTTTTATGGTTAAGAACAAACAAAAAAATAATTAATTAATTTTTAAATTTAAATTTATTTATTATTTAATATTAAATAATAATTATTAATTATTATATAATTAAATAATTATTATAAATAATATTTATTATTTTTTATCTCAATTTATTATCTATTATTTATTATTTATTATCTATTAAAT